AAGCAGAGATACATTAGTGCTTTCTTTTCTTTCATTAGCTCAGTTTATGTGCTAATTTTTTTTAAACTAAGCTTTCTAAGGTCTCGTAACGAATAGGGAACACAAGAGATGGCTGAAGGCAGAGGCAGAGAAGATGAAGAATAGACCGGATGAGCGGATTCTTCCGAGAAAGAAACATGAATTAGGTATGGCGACAAGTCCTTCGGCGTCATTGCTTTCCTTCCCCCTTTTATTTGCTTCAGTTTTTTTTTTCGAGCGCGTTCACATCAATATATTTATGCAAGAACAAATGTGCAGAAATGGAAGTGAAACACATGATTTCTGGTTAAGAGAAAACTCTCCGCGAAGAGGCATTGAGCAAGCCTGTTCCTGAAACTTCGAAAGGATTTGCTCTCATGGCCAAAATGGGATTCAAGCCAGGAATGAGTCTGGGGAAGAAGAAAGACGGTATCTTTCAACTGTCACTTCAAATCTTTTTAGCTCTGATGTTGAACCGTAGTATTCTGCTTCCAGAAAATGATCTCGGATCCGGTATTAGAGAGCCACTTCCTGTCGAGGTGAAATCAACCAGAACAGGATTGGGTCACGCCAACGAACAGGAGCAGCAAGCCAAGTTGAGGATCCAGCGAGAAATGGAGCGAATGAAGCGACGAGCCGAGCAACATGTACGTTCTTTATCTTGGGTTTTGTGCTCAGTATACAGGACAGAATCTTTCGGCGTTGATCAGTCCATTTTGGGTTGCACCGCGACTTCTGAAAGGTGGTATAAATCTTGATATATAGCTTTAGTTTTCCGAGAACTTAGTCCTTCGGCCAAAGGTGGTTATTTCTTGCCTTGCTGATTTAAACGAAAACTTGAATTGTACTACACTGGGAGGTGAACTCCTTAAAGGACGAATTCACGATTAGAATGAAGGTCGAAGAAGGAGTAATTCACCTAGTTGAGGGACCCGCGGACCTGAGGGTGCGGACTGAAGCGCAATTGGCACCGAAGGAGGTTACCTCGGCGGGTGTGGTTCACTAGGACAGAAAGCGACTTTTTCGCGTTTCGCAGCGCGAAACATTTTCGCTGCGGGAACCTCAGGTCCACCGCTGATCATCAGTGGACCCGAGGTTCCCGCAGCGAAAAATCAGTGGACCCGAGGTTCCCGCAACGAAAAATGTTTCGCGCTGCGAAACGCGAAAAAGTCGCTTTCTGTCCTAGTGAACCACACCCTACCTCGGCGATAATAAGGGCTCTTGGCGCGGCGGGTCAGTGCACGCCCACCGATCATCTGATCACTCGCCGCAGGTCTATACGTGGCGAGTGATTAGATAGGTGAGAGAGCGTAGTGTTGAAGAGGGCACAGCGATGATAGTCGCATCAATGCTCAAATCAACGGGCAAGGAAGGTCCCATTTCTCGGTTCTGGGCCGTTTCTCATGGTTTTCCTTCTTTAGTGTACCACTCACCATCCCTAGGTTAATTTGAAATGGGTTGCCTTTCCAGCGTGAATTCGTCCTTTAAGATACTTCATATAATTACCACTACGCGTTTGGAAATCCAAAGTAGGTTACTTCATCACTGTCACTTTTCTGTTTCAGGTTGAACTGACTGAAGAATACAGGAAACGGAAACGCGGAATTTCCAGTACAAAGGATTTAATTCGTGATATCCTAGCTAGTAGAAAAATATGCGTCGAGTTGGATTTGAGGTAGGAAACGCTTTGAAAGCTTCAGGGGTTCCCTTAGATGAAATGCTTGTAATCAACTGATTCGGTTCTTGTAATACATACCTTTTCAGAATCAACATGGAGCTACCAGAGGTACCGTGGTTTTGGAAAAGTTATTATAAGCGAAGCAACGTGGACGACGTTGTTGTGGCAAGTAGTTGCGACGAAGGTGGTGATTGTGATGATGACTTAAAGTGGGTTTTACCATAGTTATGAAGTTTCTTCATAATGGTATATAGACAGACATTATATTGTTCCCACTGACTTCGAAAGTGTTATGTTGGGAGTGACTCGCATAGTTTTCCGAAAGAATCAGAATGGGAGGTGCAGAAGCGATGTGTGGAAGTGGTGAAAGCGGGCTGGGTCGGGCTGATTTGGCTGTAGGATAGGCACGGGTATTGTTGTAATCTGTGATTATTGCGGTCTTACTAGTTCTGAGCTTAGGACTCCAGCTTCAGTTAGCTCTAACTTCAAACTGGTCATGCAGTTAAGGAGATTTGCTCAGACTAGTGGAATAGATACGTTTTCAGATTTGAATACGATGTTAATTCAGGTGACTCTTGTCGAAATTTCATTGACTCCTTTTAAGGTTCTATTATGCGAACGGAAAAGAAGCACCGCAGGAGGAACGTTTTGACGAACTGCCAAATGAGATTTTGCAGGAAAGGTATGAGCATAAACCCCTACATCGTCTATTGTTTACCTTCAATATGTGCTTTGTCTCCTTTATTTGGGTCAAAGAATATCATAATAGTTGAGGCGAAGAGGTGTAGTCGATATTTCGGCTGAGCGCCTAGCTCGCTCTCCGTAGAAGTGAAATTTTGAGTGTAAATGCATCATTTTTGTGAATTGCCATGCATTTCCCTTCTATTTATATAGTTTTAGTTCTCCTGGTTTCAGGTTGTTCCACATAACCGGCTATCTACGTGATGCGCATCGCTATTGTATTTGGTGTGGTTGCCAATTCGAAAACTTCGAAGAGCTTGAAAGTTATTGCCCTGGACAAGATCGACAAGCTCATGACTCCATTGACGAGTAAAATTTACGGG